GACTACAAGTCCAGTGCGGCATGGAAAAATGAGATCTTCATCAAATCTACTGTTCCCACGCGCGTTTTATCGACACAGAGAATGTTGAGTACCAACTTTCACTGATGGGAAGAACGAGTGAAGAGTTCGACGAGGGGATGAATGCCAATATTATATGTTTGGCGTTTCATGTACAAGGTGAAGGGGGACAGCATCCAAAAATTAAGAGCGGGTTTCTTTAAGTGTGGGCTGAGAAATATGGGCCCTTAAAATGCTACCTTAAAATCAGTGACATTTGAGACTCTCCACATTTTCATCGCTCACTCCCACCCACATAAGCCCCCAGAGTCGGGTATACAGCTTGCCTAGGTCGCCGCTGTATGCCCAATGGGGGGCATAAAGCAGGCGATGGGCAGAATTCTTAGACGAAAGAATAAATGAGGGATGCGGGCTGAGTTTGCGTGGGGCCGACTCTGCCGGCGTCTACGAAAACCAGCACGGAGCCTGCTCTCAAGAAGGCCCGCAGGCCCGCTGGACGCGGCTTAGCTGCAGGGGACACGAGAGCGGCCTGGACCACGGTCTCGGTGAGTGGCGAAGGATGCAACCGGGACCCGAGGAGACCTACTCACGTGGAAGTCGATCTCCAGCGCGAAGTTCTACGAATCCTGGCGCGCTCGCCACGTCATCTCGTGCGCCGCGAGCAGAGGCGGGGCCTGCGGGCGCGCCGCGGGCGCGTGTTAGCCCCGCCCATTCGTGTTGACCCCGCCCATCTGGGGGTGGGGCCGGCGCCGGCACCGCCTCGCGCTCGGTCACTCGAGTCCCCGCGCCGACTGCGGGGGAGGTTAGGGTGCTTTGAATGCAAGAGACGGAAGAGAAGGGAGCCTGGTTCACATGCAGGACTCCGTTTCCCTCCCTCTAATCCCTTTCGCTTAGTTTTTTTGAATCCATGACTTTATTAAATCCATAGTTGGAGGCACAGTTTTAAATGTCTATACTCTCGCTAGTAGCAGTAACTAATAATGATCAAAATTCAAACCCAAATAATGATAATTTACATTATCAAGGGTTCATGGGGGAGAAGGGAAGGGGGAGGGAGGGAGAAAATGAGGAGCTGATACCAAGGGCTTAAGTAGAGAGCAAATGTTTTGAGAACGATAAGGGCAACAGATGTACAAATGTGCTTGACACAATGAATGGATGGATGGATTGTGATAAGAGTTGTACGAGCCCCCAATAAAATGATTTTGAAAAAAAATTCAAACCCGTTGCCATCAAGAGGATTTCGACTCCTAAAACAGAGTAAAATTGCCCCCACTGAGTTTCCAGGGCTGTAACCTTTATGGCATCAGACCACCACACCCATCTTCCTCCCAGGGGGCAAGTTAATAGATACTAAGCCCTG